TCTTGTTGTCAGGGCGACTTAGTAGAACGCACCTAGTCCGAAGTCGTCTGCCCTAGTAGTTGTCATGATTTCCAGCATCAGACAGTGGACTTGGTACGATGCCGGCGAAACGTTTAAGAATGTACCAAGTCCACTGTCCGATGCTGGGAATAAGGACAACTACTATGGCAGACGACTTCGGACTAGCTGTGCTCTACTAAGTCGCCCTGACAACAAGACCAAGTTGAGACATCAAGATCAACACACTTGTATCAGTTGCTAAGGTAACGATGACGCAGCATTGTAGTTGAGACTTGTGACCGTTTCCGTTTGGTCGTTAGTTTGTGCCCTGGATTGCCTAATATTTCAGCTATTCATGCCAAATAGCTGGGAAGCTTTTATTTTATACTTTATTAATATGCAGTTTGCTGGTAGGAAATCTGTATTAATCCTGACTCGACTGCATTTTCGACTCCGCCTGGATTGCCAGCACTCTCATCATGAATCAGGAATGTATTATGCATGCACAGACATAAGCATATTATTTAATAATCCTTTAAATTTATTAAAAAATAACGTTGATACTTTAGCGTATGATTCATGCTCATTTCGGGAGCATATTGCTGAAGCGCACCTTACTTTAGCAACAAGTTGATAGTAATTATATCAAAACTGCCAGAGAATCTCATAACATCATAACTTATCTGGTATTCCATAGACGAATAGCTGAGCTAAAATTATTTCGCTGCGAGATCTTCAAAAGTGATTGGCATAAGTTTTTACTTAGTCTATGCTATCGTCCACTGGCGGCAGATCGCTCCAGCCAGTCCTGACTGCAAATGCTATGGGCATAAAGTCGTTTTTCTCAATTTCCTTCTCACTCTAGTGTGTTTCCTTTTCTTCCTTTTTTGCTCTCTCCATCCAAATCCTGCATTCCTCGCTCAACCCAAACACAGGTCACCACTGATCTGAATCACACTTGCACAGACAAACACTCGGGCACCTCTGCTAGTGCCCCGCTGGCTGCAGGCATCTGTGCTCTCGTATTATCAGCTAATCAGAATCTAACCTGGCGCGACATGCAATACTTGGTCGTCTACACAGCTCGGCCGGATGGCCTCTACTTGGCCGATTGGAAGCTGAATGGTGTCGGTCGACGCGTGTCTCACGCTTTCGGGTGAGCAAATTCTGGCATAATTTATCACTTATTGCCTCATTTTATTTTCATTGTCATTGACAATGCCATTGCATTCAATTTTTTTTGTCCTTCACATAAACCGCCTATTTTTGCGACTCTTGTTTCTCCCATTGATGTTACATTCGTCTATTTTGTGGTCACATTTTTAATCCTGATTTCATTAAGTTCTGGTTTATCAGGTCTTTACTTTTCATCTTTGGCATCACATTTCTTTTTTGTTGCTGCGATGCAATTTTATTCGTCTGCAGACACGGGGCACGTAGGCAATGCTCATGTCATGTAATGTGTGCGAGCCTTCATCTCGGCCTACACACTTTATGTGCAAAAGAATACACCAACTCTCGTCAACACTGCAGTAAAGCATACAGGAGGACGCATCTGCCTTACCACAATTGCGCACCCTCCTCGTTCTACATCTGCAAACCCAAACAAACATATAAATCTGTGCACAAATCGCCACTCACAACTCCAAGACAATCTTCTTTTGGTTTCAGAAGAGACCCATTTACGAATCCCTTCCAAACTTCTTTTTAAACTAAATGAAAGGCATGTATTAGGGAGATCTTCGAAATCCAGTTTCTCTTCACACATACATACAAACTTTGACAACCCGGTCCCAAGTCCTAAACAAGCCTAAGCGAATTCCGCCTGTCTTGCGTATAAGGCAAGATTAGCTCTCCTGGACGTTGATACCATTATATGCCTTTATTACGTTTATGGTTAAATAAAATAAAGACTGCTTTGGAAGTGGGGATCGTTTTCACTAGCGCATAATTTGTTTAAATGATGTTAACAAATAAGGGAAGAGATAATATGATACAGAGAAAATATAGATGTGAGATAAACCATGAGGAAGGTCGTTCATAAGCCTGCATGCGATTGTGCCATGATGAATGTAAGGGAAGATTTTATCTTGAAAATGAGTTACTTCTTCTCCAGGATGGACTGAACTCTTGACCTCGCCTACATTTCATCAATGTCCTCAGTTCAGGGCCAAGCCAGGTCCTGCTGGGCCAGAGCCAAGCACGGCGAGACTGGACCACATGGGCCTTGCGTCAAGGTGCATAGCTTTTAAGACGAAAGTGACCTCTTCCAACTCGTATCTCTAATGAGGACATGGTGATGGGGCAGATGAGTGTTGGAAATTGAGCTAGGCAATGTACACAGTCGTCTGCTTGCTCATAGCCACTCAATAAATGACTGTCTGTACGATCTTGTGGTTCATACGTAGTTTATCTGTCTCTGGGTAAACTTTACTCTGGCTGAAATTCCGCTAGATGTGTGGAGTTAAGAGCAGAAGCGCAGTTAAACCTGGGGAAGAATGATTTTTTATGGTGCCACGAGTGGGGCAATCAGTGCTTGAACCAAGCCATTGCAATTCGTCATGAACAGTAACTCTTCGTCCTGGACATGTGTATTATATGAAATGTGTTTAGCGTTTAATCTCGGCACACCAACCACTACGCCACATTGCCAGGCCCTTGGGTGACAGGGAAAATGTGAATTTCAAGAAAGTCCAGACATTTTCACATATCACGTTCTGTGGTGGAATTGTCGGTGAAGCGAAAAATGTATTTGCTATAACAATCGACTATATTACCTATTTGTCGTTTGTAAATTGGAATACCCTTTAGGCAGCAAGGCCATATGAAATTCAATTGAAGCGTAAGATCTTTTCATATCATTGTGGGAAAATTCAGCTGCCATTCCTTCATCACCTTAAACTGAATGGGGTGAACAAATATCCTAGATCTGATTTACTATTATCCTCGAAACCCAACTTAAAAACGACATAGGGATTTTATTTTCTCCTTGTTTCAAAAAAGCAGGACACATTTTGCCATTAAGTTGGTTTCAGAAAAATGTAATTTTATTTCGAAGATATGAAGGCGATGTGACCTTTTGTATGGTCGCGGTCTCATTTCTTTGAATAGAAGTTGTTTTACCTTATTTTCGCAACTTTTCCATATTGGCAGGAAGAACTACAGGAATTCACCTTATCCGGAGTCCATAACATGCATGATCATTTCCAGAGTCGGACCGTGGATGTGTTACATTCCCAGACGTTTCGCCGGCATCGTAGTCGGCATAGTCAGTGAGCCTTGCCATTCTTAGCACCACACCACAACTCGTCAAAGAGACGAGTGAATTCGCTCCTTTGACCAAATGTGTGCTAAATAGTTATAGTATATCTCCTTCTGTCCTGGGCTATCCACCTATCCCATATCCTCCTATCACCCCTTCAATATCACAATTTCCTAGTTGTTTATCTATACCTATTTGAAATCTACTCACACTCCTCGCTGGTTTCCTCATACCTCTATCTGTACCGGGTGTGTTGAGCCAATGTGACGGTTTAATCCGCAATCCATTATCATCGGGTCCTATCAGAATCCCCTCTTGCTGTAATCATACAAAAGACCACACTACCCTAGTCTTCATATCTTCGTAATACTCTTAATTTTAACTAAATAAATTGCAAGGAGAGCAGAGGAGAGGAATCGTAAACCAAGAGAAGACGTCTAAAGTGAGCCTATTCAAATCAAGTAGTACCGTTACATTTGGGGTTTGGCACGTTATATAATGTCATATAAGAGCGAGAGAAATGGTAGTGGCTATTTCTAGTTGGCAATGAGTAGATAAGTTTGCTCATAGGCGTAGTCCTTGAATTAAGGGCTTTACCACGAGATCTACTCGGTGCACAGGCAACACATCGATAAGGGAATTTGCAGCGTCAAGTTAGGTTGCCATGCCAAATGGGAATCCAGACTTTAGGGGCTTGTGTATACGTGCTATCAAAGGCTTGAGACAGAATTCAGAATAACGCCTTGAGTAGGACGGATACGGTGGCAGCGCTGGAGTAAAATCACTGAAATTGGTAGATAAGGCAAGGATCCTAGGTAGTAA